TTTTTTTTTTATAAATTTTAAAACGTAAAAAAAATTATAATTATATATATTATAAAATTAGAAAATAAATATATTACAGTTAATTTTGAAGTACATAACAAAATTATAAAAATAATATATTTTAACATTTATTTCAAATATATAAATATTTTGCATATATTAAAAAATGTCATATATAAATATATTTTATAAAATAGATATAAAGAAAACTCACCATCTGGTGGAGGAACCTTGTACTGCCTTTATGTACATCTGTTTCAAAACTGAAGTGCGCTGTTATTGTTATGTGCACTACAAATACAAACCATATTTATCTAACCCATTTTTGAGCGCTGGATTTTGAACATACGTTCAAAGTCAACATGAATAATAAACTGATACCATTGTGCAAATTTGTGTCTTAAATTGTGTCTGCAGCTCTCCAGAGAGTAAGAAAGATTTCTTGAAGACGGTTCACTCCATCCTGAGAGACAAACAGCGCCGTCAGCTGTTGAAGACGGAAAGTCTTCCTCTCAGCCAGCAGTACGTTCCCTTCGGAGGAAAACGCCTGTGCGCCCTGAAAGGAGCCCGACCGGCCATGAACAGAGCAGGTAAACACACAAAGAAATTAATAAATCTGTTTATCAAAGACGCATTAAATTGATCAAAAGTGAGAGTAAAGACATTTATCTTACAAAAGATTTTTATTTCAAATAAATGCTGTTTGTTTGAACTTTCTATTCATCAAAGGATCCTGAAAAATAAAATATATCACAGTTTCCATAAAAATATGAAGCAGCACAATTGTTTTCAACATTGATAATAATCAGAAATGTTTCTTGAGCAGCAAATCAGCATATTAGAATGATTTCTGAAGGATCATGTGACACTGAAGACTGGAGTAATGATGCTTTGATCACAGGAATAATTTTTAAATATATTCAAATAGAAGACAGTTATTTTAAATTGTAATAACATTTCACAATATAATGTCAGATCTCTGTGTAAACCATGTTAGTGATGCTCATGGTTTTGTGTCTTCTCAGTATCTGCCCCGACTCGCACTCTGGGCCGGAGGAAACTGGTGCGGAACCGCTTCACCATCGACACAGACATTGTTTTCGACACTGAGCCCCACAGTGACTCACCGGACTCCCAGCATGCTCAGCAGCAGGGCGTCGTTCCGGCAGGTGACACTGACCGCTGGGTGGAGGAACAGTTCGACCTTCAGTGCTATGAGGAGCAGGAACAGGACGTGAAGGAAACAGACATCCTGAGCGATGACGACGAGTTCTGCCAGTCCGCTCTGAGCCCGTCCACCGAGCCGGACGTGGAGGGACCGCTTTCTGCCCTCTCGCTGGAGGGAGATACGGCTGAGGAGGAAGAAGAGGAGGAAGAGGAGAGCAGGAAGGACTACAAATCCCAGCATGCCAAGCTGTCTCATTTAGGGAAGCAGTGTGCCATGTCTGTCGCCAGTGTGGATGAGCAGGTGCCCGATGAGGACATCTGGGTGCGACGGGACAGCAGCACAGAGAACGAGGCACAGGACGAAACCCAGAGCTGAAACACATCAGGAGACGGACACAATTAAAGGAATAGTTCACCCAAAAATGATCAGAATGAGAGTCCAAACAGCTGATAAAAACATCACAATAATCCACAAGTAATCCACACCACTCCAGTCCATCAGTTAACATCTGGAGAAGACTAAAGCTGCATGTTTGTAAGATACAAATCCAATTTCAAACCAATGCTTCCAGCTACAATATGATAATATAATCCATAATATAGTTTCTCCAGTGAAAAAGTCATCTTGTCTGAATCAGGAGAGAAATCTGCACAGATCAAACACAGATTACAAGCCAAAAACAGTCCAAAACAAATATGTTGGTGGATTTTGATGTGAGAGGACAACAGGGGATGGACTTTTTCACTGGAGGAAGCATTATTATGGATTATATACTCATATTTCAGCTGGAAGTGACAGTTTAAAGTTAAAACGCTTTAATGATGGATTTGTTTCTTACAACACACAGCTTTTGTCTTCTCAAGACATTAACTGATAGACTGGAGTGTGGATTATTGTGATGTTTTTATCAGCTGTTTGGACTCTCATTCTGACGGCACCCATTCACTGCAGAGGAGCCATTGGTGAACAAGTGATGGAATGCTACATTTCTTCAAATCTGATGAAGAAACAAACTCATCTACATCTTGGATGACCTGACAGCGAGTAAATGTTCAGCAAATTTTCATTTTCGGGTGACTGTTCCTTTAAAGCTCGCCGGTCAAATACATCAGCCGATGCATGACGACAGTTTCTCCACGCTAATATTCCCGAATGTTAGACATTCCTTTCGAAGTAGCTGTAAGATATGATGCTTTAAACACATTAGATGAGCTCTACATGTGCGCTGTGGCCAATCAGAAACCGCAGGAAACGTGGTACAATCAATAGAATTAGAATTGCACATTCGCCGTTGGCAGCCTCAAACATTTGACCGCCAACGTCTGCCAAACATTTCTGTTTCGTTCTTGACATTGTTATTTCCTAAATAAAGGCTGTGATTTATTTATTATGTCCTTCAGATGTAAGAAGAACGACAGCCTGATTAAATATCTCACTTTTTAATTTGTTCGGCATTGTCTCATATTTGTACAGAGAAGCTGTAAGCGCCCTTTTTTTCTTTGGGTTGTAAATATTTTTGTTTATTTCTGTGATTTATCTGAAATGTTCATACTGCGCACTATTCTGACCTGAAATATACATGTAATTTGAATATTCATCGAGTAATTGTGTTGAATATTGATTTAGATGTGCACATCTCAGGTCAAAATAATGCTGAATTCATTTTTATGATTCCTGTCTCAGAGCGGAGGATTTTTTTACAGCTCATCTAGGTCACTATGTCCTGTTTTACTTGAATTTTGTTGATAAATGCAATATGATTTTTAGCGGATGGACTGTTCTGTTCCTGTTTAAATGGCTTGTTGTGGTTCAGCTCTACATTAATGACACATAACGACCCTCGTTTTGACGCTCACACTCACGATTCACACTTGACGATCCGAGCCTTTACACAGACAAAATGCATACGGTGTAATTAATTTTTTTTCTCACAGTTAAACTTTGGGTTCCTGTTTTAAAATTCCCAAATTTGCTGAATGCAATCAAGAGAAGCAACTGGAAAATATTTTAGATGATATTGAATTCTAATTGAAAATATTCCCATTGAGCTATAGCGACTGCATTTTTATTTTGTATATAGATCTGTGGATTGATATTATATCAAATAAATTGGTTTCGTACGTATCAAAAGCCTGTGATTCGTGGATGCTTCTGCATTTCCAGTATGTCTTTACACATTTACAGCCGTGTTAATAAGAAGCACTTCTGCTTGTGTGATCTTGGCCTTCATGTGTTAAAGGCACTGACGGTGGAATTCGAGTTGTATGGCACCACTCTCATTGCAGACAGATGGAAGTGCCAGGATGGCCTCGGGCTGAATGTTTGAGCGGAAACTCAAGATACAAGACGAGTGAAGCAATCAATCTCTCAGCGCTCAGATGTATCTGAGATATACGAGCTGATAGAGTTCCTGTCCGCAGGCCAGACTGACATCATCAGACCACACATCATTTATAGAAATGAATTCATCAATAAGCTACTATAAATCTTTTAAGTTATTGTTTTTAAATTGAGGGAGAAAAAAGGGGTTTCTCCTTCTTGTGGCATTCAGAACAGAGTCAACTATATAATGAAGGTAGATTTAAACCTGTACAAGAGTGTTTTTCATGTCATGTCAAAGCAAGCTGTCACTCATCTTTTGCTGTTGTGCTTGTTTAATTTGATAATTTTCGCTAATTATCTTAATATTAACATTTAAGTATGCAATTTTTTGGGGTTTTCATTCATTGTTTTTATAATTGTTATACAGTTGGAAATGTATTGCGGTATATATTTATAAATATAATTATAACATTATATATTTGTATTTTTTTAAACCATAAGATAAATGAATCTGCCTCCCAGTGGTCGAAGTTGGTACCATATTTTGGTAACACTTTACAATAAGGTTCATTAGTTAACTACTTTAGTTAATTAACTAAGAATGAACAATAGTTCTTCAGCATTTACTAATCTTAGTTCATGTTAATTTCAATATTTACTAATGCATTATTAAAATCAACAGTTGTGCTTGTTAATTTGATAATTTTCGCTAATTATCTTAATATTAACATTTAAGTATGCAATTTTTTGGGGTTTTCATTCATTGTTTTTATAATTGTTATACAGTTGGAAATGTATTGCGGTATATATTTATAAATATAATTATAACATTATATATTTGTATTTTTTTAAACCATAAGATAAATGAATCTGCCTCCCAGTGGTCGAAGTTGGTACCATATTTTGGTAACACTTTACAATAAGGTTCATTAGTTAACTACTTTAGTTAATTAACATGAACAATACTTCTGAAGCATTTATTAATCTTAGTTCAAGTTAATTTCAACATTTACTAATGCATTATTAAAATCAAAAGTTGTGCATGGTAACATGCGCTGTGAATTAACAATGAATAACTATTTTCATTAATAAATACTGTAATAAATGTACTGTTCATTGTTTGTTTCGTGTTAGTTAATACATGACCTAACATTAACTAATGGAACCTTATTGTAAAGTGTTACCCATATTTTTGTGCAAAATATTTTTTGTGGTCCTACTGTTCTTAGTGCACACATTAAGTATGCGAAAACATCATTATGAGGGTAAAACGTTGATATTGTGCATAGAAAATGCATGTTTTTGTTCTTACAGCAGAATATATGGAAAATCGACTTAAGAAGACGCTTTATTTCCGTAAGTTCATTAATTGTGTTCCTTACGTTTCGATGTTAAAAGTAAGTTCTTTTTGTCTTTCTGTCTGTTTGCTAATACCATTTTGACAGATGCTGAGAAGAATATTTCACCTTTAATCTTTGACTAGAAGGATTTTGGGGTCGACTTCACTTCACTCGAGGACTTCTGATGAGAAAACAAGGCAAGTTTATCAAGTTATGGTAGATTTGAACTAAATGAAGCAACATTTAGGCTAAATGTTAACCTGATTTACAGTTTCTAAAAATACTGTAGTGGTATCGTGGTAAAATAGGGAGTAATACGATGTAGTGAATGATTATAATATTAATTTACCATGCATTACGTGAAAAGCGTGATTATTTACGTCTAACGTTTTGTCGTGGTAAATGCAAAATAAATACCTTTTTTGGTTATTTTTTTTAAATGAACGTTTTGAAATGAGTATTGTAGTAGTTTTGATGTTTAAGGTGCAGTTTTACACAGATACACTAGATGGCGCACAAACATTTCGTGTAAATGTGCAAATCTGAGGAGTGTTTCCATCTACTGCAAATATAAACAATGATCTTTTTTTCTACAAAAATCTACTTAAATGTCGTATATATGTATTTTTTCTGGTCATGTATTAAGGCAAGAAGTTAAACATTTCTGCTGTCAGGTTAAAGGAAAGTAAAAGGTGAAGTAAAGTGCTGTCTTGTAGGAAAAGTGTAATATTTATTGACAGAATTGATTGATATAAGTCTTGTGTTGTTAAATGTCACTCTTGATTTCTGAGGCTGGACCTGTGAGTTGATATGAAACTCAGTCTCAATGGTCCGACCTGTCAGACAGGTTTGAAAGTTTCTGTTGACTTTTCAATGAACCTCAAACCGCTTTATAGCTCACTGTGTTTTACAGGAACATTAGTGACATTTTAGCTCAGGTGAGACACGCTTCTGCTCTCTGTGAGCTCCTGTAAACATACTCCGCATGATCTGATGTTCAGCCAGGATTTTCATCTCAATCCTCCAGGCCAAGGAGTCAAAATGAAACATAATTAGAAATTCAAAGTAAAATACATTTAAGAATAAAATACCAGATCATAGTTATAAAAACAAATTATGTTCTTTAGTAGCTGTTGTTTGTAAATCTCACGTATGTCATTTCCTCTCTTTAACACGCTTATATATAGGCCTATATACTTTTGTTTCTAAAATGGGATTATGCAATATATGCACAATAGTGACACAGCATCAGCTGTCAGTTGAAACAGCACCTGTCACAAAAGCATCTTGTTCCTCATATTTTCATTTTGATGGCTTAATGCATGACTTATTTGACGTGTTGAAACGGTTTCGAGGGAAAAAACCTCTAGTCATCCTATATAAACTGATTCAATTGAGGTCAAATATATTAGAGCAATTTTTTATTTGATTTAATCACTTAGAACAACAAGATTCAGATTATCATTCTTACAAATTCATTGATTCTGATAACGGTTTTAATTACTCACAAAAGTCTGTGTTCACTTGCATATGTGGCGCTTGTTCATTTTGGATTGCCGTTAGCTGTAGTTCTGCTATCTTAAAGGGATAGTTCACCCAAAAATGAAAAAATTTACCCCCAGTGCATCCAAGATGTAGGTGACTTTGTTTCTTCAGTAGAACACAAACGAAGATTTTTAACTCAAACCGTTGCAGTCTGTCAGTCCTATAATGGAGGTGAATGGGAATCACGGCTTTGAGAGTAAAAAAAAACATAC